GCTTTTCATGCATGGCAGAAGAGAGTTAAATGGGATGGCCCCTGGGGTTTCTGCTATTAGATATTATTATTACAAAGGCTGGAGGGGGGGGGCATCTGTTAAGGGTGATTTGATTATGCTTTTCCTGTATGATATAAGATAATATATAAACGTTTATTGGGGCTCCACGAGAAACTTTCGCTTCAGAAAGGGCTCCGCGCCTGAAAAAGTTTGAGAGCCTCTGACATAGAACATAAGAAGAACTGTAACTGAGCTATTGCCTAATAGTGTATTTTCTTGCAAATAGTGTATTTAATAGTGTATTATCATTAAAAGTGTTTTTAATGTTTATTCTAGTCTGAGCGATTCTGGAAAATCAAGTTGAACAACAGGGTATAAATAACAGAATATATAAATGTAAAGGAGCTGCATCTCAAAGTCACTCATTTTATATATCACCAGGAAACAACTCTGTAATTATCTCTCGACTTTAGTGGAATTCTTCCTACTGTGAAAAATACAGATCTCCGTTTCCAGTAACATTTGAAAGTGCAAAGGAATTATTGTGGCATCCTGCTGCTGACTAGTCCCATCCTTCTCTATGTTTACAGTCTTTCTTCAAGGGAATTAGTATGCTTCTAAGGTTTAGTACAATGTATTTAATGTTTCCATGAAAAAAAATCTGTCATACGTGAACCTTTGGATTTTATGGAAGAGAGAGGAAAAGAGAGATAGATGAGCCTAACTCTTTCAGTGGCTGCAACCCCATACAAACTGAGCCTTCCTTATCTGGAATTCCAAAACCTAAAATACTCCAAATCCCAAAATTCTCCACATATATTGATAAGGTAGTAGCACTTTGCATGTTGATGGTTCAATATAATCAGTTTGTTTCATTAACAAAATAATTTAAAATGTTATGGCCTTCATGTTACGTGTAGATAAGGCTTACATTAATTTCATGTTTAGACTTTGGCCCCATCTCCAAAATGATATTATTGTTGTTGTTGCTGTTATTATTTCTTATCCATCTCTCCCTATGGATTGAGATGTGTGGGGAGAGGGGAGACAGATTTCTCCTTATATACGAGCATATCTTTTTGATTGTAAGACACACACTAATTTCCATACCGCAGTAATAGTAAAAGCACCCATAATTCAAAGGCGCACTCTGTTTTTTAAGATTTTTATATGGGGGAAATGTGTGTCTTTAGAATCGAAGGAATAAGATATATGTAAATTCAGATATTCTGAAATCCAAACCACTTCTGGTTCCTAACATTTCATGTAAGGAATACACAACCTGCAAATAAACTTGCTTGAATTCAATATGTGGACACTATAGAAGGATTGTTACTTATGACCTCTGGATGGAGAATTATGGGTTATCTCTACACTATTTAATCCACTTTAACTGCTTGGGGTCAATGCTATGGACTCCTTGGATTTGTAGTTTTACAAGCTCTTTAGCCTCTGTGTTGTCAAAGGCTTTCATGGCCAGAATCACTGGGTTGCTGCGAGTTTTTTGGGCTGCATGGCCATGTTCCGGTAGCATTCTCTCCTGACATTTCACCTGCATCTATGGCAGGCATCCTCAGAGGTTTGTTCAGAGGTCTGTTAGAAATGAGGCGAGTGGGATATATATGTGGTATGTCCAGGATGGGAGAAAGAATTCTTATCTGAAACAAGTGTGAATGTTGTAATTAAGCTGCTTGATTAGCCTTGTAGCTATAAACGCTATTCTTGAACATTCTACACACATACACCACTTGCCTTATTTCTAACAGACCTCTGAACAAACTTCTGAGGATGCCTGCCACATATGCAGGAAAAATGTCAGGAGAGAATGCTACTGGAACATGGCCACACAGCCCAAAAACCTCATAGCAACCTCTTTAGCCTCTTTTACCAAAGAGTGCCAAACTACAATCTCTGTGGTGAAAGTGATGTCAAACTGCATCTACAGTAGATGTGCTCAGCAAATTTGAATGGGAAAATCCAACACTGAGTTGTTGTAGGTTTTTCAGGCTATATGGCCATGTTCTAGAAGCATTCCCTCCTGACATTTCGCCGGCATCTATGGCAAGCATCCTCAGAGGTTGTGAGGTCTGTTGGACACTAGGAAAAACTGGGTTATGTATCTGTGGAATGTCCAGGGTGGGAGAAGGGACTCTTCTCTGTTGGAGTTAGGTCTGAATGTTTCAGTTGGCCACCTTGATTAGCATTTGATGGCCTGGCAGTTATTAATTAAAAGTATGTGGGATCCAGTTAGGAATTACTTAGAGAAAGGGGTGGGAGTGGGTTAAAACAATAAAATAAAAAGATAATTTTAAAAAGATAATTGGATTTTGACAAATGTGGATTGCTGTGGAAACAAGGATTGGAGATAAAGCTTCAGTTGAGATGCCTTTGCCCAGGAATGGGTAAACTCAGGCCCTCCTCTCTCACACACCATCCCTATCCTTCCTTCCTTCCTTCCTTCCTTCCTTCCTTCTTCCCTCCATTCCCTTCTACCCTACTCTTTCTCCCTTTCTTCTTTCTTTCTTTCCTTCCTTCCTTCCTTCTTTTCTTCTTCCTTTCTCCCTGGGGGATGTTTAGCTGGGAGAAGGGAAGGGAGAGCGGGAACTTGAGAACCATGTTTCAAGAATTTAAAGAGTGTCCCATTTAGGAGAAGGGGAAAACTGACTTTCTGCTGCTCTAGAGACCAGGTCACAAGGGAGAAATGGTTTCAAATCACAGGGAAAGATTAGGAAGGACTTCCTGGAGAGTGGCATAGGTTGCCTCCGAGTGTGGTGGTGTATCCTCTGGAGGCTTTTCCACAGAGACTGTCTGTTGGGAGTGCTTTGGTTGTGCCTTCTTGCATGGCAGGGGGTTGGACTGGATGGCCATTGGGGGTCTCTCCCAACTAGGATTCTACATCCGGAGTGGGCAATACAGGGTCTAATGGAGACATTTTTTTCTCTCCCATCCACCACCTTATCCTGACCAAAGCTAATCCTTTTGGGATTCAAACATTTGCTGTCTTCCCTTCCCTTTCTGCCTCCGAAAGAGAAGAGGAAAGGGCAGGGAGGGGGCTTGGGGAGAACCTGCTTCCTCCCAGTCCACCCACCCTGCTCTGCCTGCCATGCGGCCCCCAAGTTAGAAAGTTTACCCATGCCTGCCTTTGCCCCACGATAACTCTTCCAGGAGTGAATTTTCCCTTCTGAGGGACAGATTTCTCTCAATGTATTGTCAAAGGCTTTCATGGCCAGAATCACTGACTTGTGGTAGGTTTTTCAGGCTATATGACCACGTTCTAGAAGCATTCTCTCCTGACATTTCACCTGCACCTATGGCAGCCATCCTCATAGCTTGTGAGGTCTGTTGGAAACTAGGAAAATTGGATTTATGTATCCCGGTGGTACAGTGGATTAAACCACTGAGCTGCTAAACATGTTGACCGAAAGATCGCAGGTTTGAATCTGGAGAGCAGAATGAGCTTCTGCTGTCAGCCCCAGCTTCTGCCAACGTAGCAGTTCGGAAACATGCAAACGTGAGTAGATCAATAGGTACCGCTCCAACGGAAAGGTAACAGTGCTCCATGCAGTCATGCTGGCCACATCACCTTATAATTTAAATAAAACTTTATTTATATACCGCTCTATCTCCCCGAGGGGGTCTCAGGCCTGTTTTCAAGTAACATCACTGAAACAGACAAAGTAAACAGCATAACATAAAATTCAGAAAACAACATAGGTATAAAATTATCACAATAACACATATATATTAAAAATAATCCTGCCCATTCAGAGCAATTAAAAAGCCAGGCCAAGGCTAGTGCAAACTCAAGATATGAGGGGGCCGGGAATTAAGTACAATGATGTAACAGGCTAATGGTAATAGCAGGTACGGGTCTGTGGCTGCTCATTTCCAGGGCCTATTAAGCTGTGGTTCTCAACCTGGGGTCCCCAGATATTTTTGGCCTACAACTCCCAGAAATCCCAGCCAGTTTACCAGCTGTTAGGATTTCTGGGAGTTGAAGGCCAAACACATCAGGGGATCCCAGATTGAGAACCACTGTATTAGAGGGATGGATGGGGTAATAGGTAAGAAGTGCAAGGCCATATTCAACAATGTTTGGGTTGGACTAGAACTGGTCATTCTCAAAGGCTTGTTGAAACCACCAGGTCTTCAAGCTCTTATGAAAGGAGGGGAGGGATGGGGCATGTCTTATTACCCTTGGAAGGGCGTTCCCGAGGCGGGGGGGCCACCACCAAGGATGCCCCCTCTCTATCTCTCTTCCCCACCAACTGTACTTCTGACGGTGGTGGGAGCGAAAGGAGGGCCTCCCCGGAAGATCTTAAGAGTTCGCGCCGGTTCATAAATGGAGATGTGATCGCGGAGATACAGACAACGCCAGTTCTTTGGCTTAGAAATGGAGATGAGCATCAACCCCAAGAGTAAGACAAAACTAGACTTAATGTCTGGGGAAAACCTTTACCTTTTACCTGTGGAATATCCAGGGTGGGAGAAAGAACTCTTTGTCTGTTGGAACTAGGTGTGAATGTATTATAACAGCAAATAAAAAAAACAACACTCAAACACAGGGGAACTCCAGACAAGAAACAATCATGGATAGCTAATCACCTCTCAACAAAGGATTCTCCCAGGCAGTAACAAGCCAGGCATTGAAAACTGCTAGGCCATTAAATGGTGGCCAAATGAAACATTCACGCCTAGCTCCAACAGACAAGAGTTCTTTTTCCCACCCTGGACCTTCCACAGAGACATAAACCCGATTTTCCTAGTTTCCAAGAGACTTCACAACCTCTGAGGATGCTTGCCATGGATGCAGGTGAAACGTCAGGAGAGAACATGGCCATATAGCCCGAAAAACCTACAACAAACCAGATTTCTCTCACTTCCTGCTGTCTCACCCCGTTCTTAATAGTGAGTCGTTTGCAAGTGGGATGTTTGTAACTTGAGGAGTGCGTGTGATCCAGAGTGTGCGGGGTTCCCCCTGAAGTCCTTGCCCATCCTACCTTCCGGGCGCCTCCCGCCTCCTCTGCTGTGGGCGCCTCCAGGCCGCGGCGCCGCTGGGCTGCCTGCGGAGGGGGAAGGCCCTCTGGCGCCGGGCGCCATCCTTCTCCTCCTGCTGCTGCTGCTCCAGGGCCAGCTGGCTGAAGGCGTAGAGCAGCGAGCACAGCCCGCAGCCCAGGCACAGCAGCACCAGCCGCGCCAGCCGACGACGCATCCTCCCTCGGCCCCGGCTGCACCGCGGAGCCGCAGCCGGGGCCTCGCCGGGAGTGGGGCCGCCTCCACCAAGCGCCTCAGCGCGGCAAGAAGGAACGACGCGAGCCCAAGGCCAGGGAGAAGCAGGCCTCTGCGGTAGTGCGGGGAGAAGGAGCCGCGGGAGAAAGAGGGCGGGCACAGCGAGGCCCTTCGACCCTTGCGGGGGAGGAGCCAGGGGCGTGGCTTCAAAAGGGGTGGGGCGAGTGTCGCCCGGGCAACGCAGGCCCAGGAGGGAAGAGTGGCGTTGTAGACTTCAACTCCCAGGCGCCCGTGCTGCCTTGACCAATGATGAGGCATGCTGGGAGATGAAGTCCAAAACGTTGGGATCATGACGTCACTGTCCAATGCATGCCCTCGGATCACTGCTCTTGCTGAGTGGAGAAGAGCAAACTACAGACCACCTGCTGCAATGCAACCTGAGCCCTGCCACATGCACAATGGGCAACACCAGAGGCACTCCAAGTGGCCAGCTACTGGTCAAAGGACATTTAATCAACTACCAAGTTTGCAAACTTTGTGTTTTGTTTGCTTGTTTGTAAAAAAAATGCAATGCAACTATTTGGGCTGCTCCTGACACGATAAATAAATACTGCCTTGGCTAAATGCTATGACTACAGCTCCCATAATTGGGTTGCTATGAGTTTTCCGGCCTGTATGGCCATGTTCCAGAAGCATTCTCTCCTGACGTTTCGCCCACATCTATTTCAGGCATCCTCAGAGGTTGTAAGGTCTGTTGGAAACTAGACAAGTGAGGTTTATATATCTGTGGAATGTCCAGGGTGGGAGAAAGACCTCTTGTCTGCTTGAGGCAAGTGTGAATGCTGCAATTGATCAATTTGATTAGCATTGAATAGCCTTGCAACTTCAAGGTTTGGCTGCTTCCTGCCTGGGGGAATCCTTTGTTGGGAGGTGATAGCTGGCCCTGATTGTTTCTTGTCTAGAATTCCCCTGTCTTCTGAGTGTTGTTCTTTATTTGCTGTCCTGATTTTGGAGTTTTTTTTTAATACTGGTAGGCAGATTTTGTTCAGTTTCATGGTTTTCTCCTTTCTGTTGAAATTGTCCACATGCTTGTGGATTTCAATGGCTTCTCTGTATAATCGGATAGGGTAGTTGTTAGAGTGGTCCAGCATTTCTGTGTTCTCAGTTAATATTATGTGTCCTGGAATTGTGGGAGTTGTAGTCTAAAACACCTGGAGGGCCGGAGTTTGCCCCTGCCTGGTCTAAATGCTATTTATCCATCGTATCTCTTGCAACATCACTCGGGAGCCCCTCAATATATACAGTATAATAATATATAGAAATAATAATATTGTAACGTAATAATACTAATATGATATAGTACAACATATTATATAATACGAATAGTATAATATACTGGTAGTAGATATATAGGTATAATAATATATATTATATAGTAGTATAATAATATAATACAATATAATATATAAGCCACTGTGCCCTGGTGGCTTAACTGCTGAGCTGCTGAACTTGCTGACTGAAAGGTTGAAGGTTCAAATCCGGGGAGCGGGATGACCTCCCGCTGTTAGCCCCAGCTTCTGCCAACCTAGCAGTTCGAAAACATTAAAATGTGAATAGATCAATAGGTACTGCTTTGGTAGGAAGGTAATGGCACTCCATGCAGTCATGCCGGCTGCATGACCTTCGGGGCGTCAACGGACAACACCGCCTCTTCAGCTTAGAAATGGAGATGAGCATCACCCCCTAGAGTTGGACACGACTAAACTTAATGTCTACACTTAATGTCAAGGGGAAACCTTTATCTTTACTAATATAATATATATTATATATACTACAGCTTATGATATAGTACAATATATTATACGTACAATACTAACAGTATGATATACTGGTAGTATATTATATATATTGTTGTATAATAATATAGTACAATAATAATAATAATATTAAAGAAGATCCAACCAGTCCATACTTCAGGAAATAAAGCCCGACTGCTCATTGGAGGGAAGGATATTAGAGGCAAAGATGAAGTACTTTGGCGACATCATGAGAAGAAAGGAAAGCTTGGAGAAGACAATGATGCTGGGGAAAATGGAAGGAAAAAGGAAGAGGGGCTGACCAAGGGCAAGATGGATGGATGGCAACCTTGAAGTGACTGGCTTGACCTTGAAGGAGCTGAGGGTGGTGACGGTCGACAGGGAGCTCTGGTGTGGGCTGGTCCATGAGGTCACGAAGAGTCGGAAACGACTGAACAAATGAACAACAGCAAATAATAATATATAATTATACATTATATATTACATGTAATATTACCAATAATATTGCAGCATAGTACAATATAGTAATACATAATACTAATATTGTGCTATGCTAATAATACAATATTTTGTATATACATATATTGATAACAATATTGTAATGTTATATAATATAATACTAATAATACAATATATTATATAATATTCTAATATAGCAATACAAATATATTAAATATAATTACTACTGATAATATATAATATAGAATGATAGTGCATGGATTGCAGACCCAGAATTAATAAGAACATCAGACTGGCCTTGTCCTGCTCAGTTGCTGAGTATGCCTACCCCGTCTGACATAAATCTGCCCACGTGAAGCAGGTAAATATAGCACTGAATGAAACATGTAGAATAATTGCAGGATGTCTTAAATCTGCACCTATTGGTAGARTCTATAACAGGCATGGGAAAACTTCGGCCCTCCAGGCGTTTTGGACTTCAACTCCCATAAGTTAGGAATTGTGGGAGTTGAAGTTCAAAACACCTGGAGGGCCAAAGTTTTCCCATGCCTGCTCTATAAGCTAGCTGCCATCCCCCCCCCCCCCCCCATGTGCCACAAGAAGTTGCTGCCAACTGCAAGAGAGGTTGAACACTGAAAGCCACCCATGTATGGCTATCAGCCTCCTCCTAGTAGACTTAAATCAAGGAAAAGTTTCATGAGAACCACCACTGCTCTTAGTGCAAAATCAAGGAATTCCATCTGGATGGCATGTCTTCCTGCAGGAGCAAACCAAGGAAGAGCAACTTGGAAATCTCTGAACCGACACAGAAGTGGAATGGGCAGATCAAAAGACAACATGGCAAAATGGCACTACCTAAAACAATCCTCCACCTTGTATGACTGTGGAGCAGAACAAACAACTCAGCATCTGTATGCTTGCCCACAATGCCCTGCTTCATGCACAGAGGAAGAACTCTTTAAAACTACAGACAATGTGGTTTCTGTTGCCTGCTTTTGGTCTAAAGATATTTAGCTGCTTGTGCTCCCTTTATTTTATCAGTTTTATCCAATGCTTTTGACCATGAAATGGTTCAGCCACTCACATAAATGGGACAACCTCTCTCTCTCTACTGCCTCCAGGTGGCATCTGCCTGGATAGTGAAACCTTACCCATGGCCTTTATCCAGGCATCTTCAAACTGCGGCTCTCAAATGCCATTAAAAATGCTGGAGGGCCTTCCCTGTTAAAGGCCCCTTCCACACTGCCCTATATCCCGGGATCTGATCCCATATTATCTTCTTATCCAGATTATCTGGCAGTGGAGACTCATATAATCCAGTTTGAAGTAGATAATCTGAGATCAGATCTTGGGATATAGGGCAGTGTAGAAGGACCCAAAGAATTCTGGGGCCTTGCCCAAGGGCAACTCTCTTCATTCTATAGCATGAAACCACCACAGCCTTAAAGTGGTGTCAAACGGTATTAATTCTTCAGTATGAATGCAGCCCCTGCAGTCCGAGGCCACTTTGAAGATACAGAAATTGCAGGGGAACTTCTGGTTCTCAAGAAGTGCACATTGTACACACTATAGAATTAATGCAGTTTGACACCATTTGAACTGCCACGGTTCAGAGCAGCAGATTCATGGGAGTTGCACTTTTACGAAGTCTTTAGTTTTTTCTTCCTAAAAATGGATCTATACTGTCCTATATTCCAGGATCTGATCCCAGATATCTTTTTTGAACTCGATTATATGAATCTACACTGCCAGATAATCTAGGATCAGATCCTGGGATATAGGCCAGTTTAAACTCAGCCAAAGATTGCTGGTTCTTCACTCAACTGCAACACCTATAATTTTAAAGCTTTGAGCCATGGCAGTTAAAGAGATGTCAATGAGCATTAATTTTGCAGTGTAGATGCACCCAAGAAAGTAGGTGCGAAAAAGGGAATGGCTGTGGAGTCCAATACCTTGCATGTTTCCTTCGAAGCTGCTCTGACTGAATTCAACTCATGCTTGATTTGAACATGGGTGCATCTACACTGTAGAGTTAATGAAGATTGACACCAATTTTACTATACATCACTTTCTTGGCAATAAATATTATTGAATCCATTGGGACTTACTTCTGAGTAACCCTGTCTAAAGATTTCACCATATGCCTTCAGTCCTGCACCCACTTTCCTGGGCGTAAGCACTCAGTAATACTAATGGATATATTTGCATAGGATTATCCAGTTAATGCTGCAATTCTGTACACACTTGGGGGTGTCACTGCCATTTGGATGAAGTGTGTGTGTGTGTGTGTGTGTGAGAGAGAGAGAGAGAGAGAAGGCACCACATATGAAGGCTGAAGTATCTACCTAGATGTGCACCCCAACCAATCGGTAGCCAAGACAAAATGACAGGAAAGCGGAAAGGCTATTTGATTAGGCATCCTTGTACATGCATGACAGGAACTAATAAAGCCCCTATAGTATGACTGTATGTAAACTGATATGACAAATTCATGCCCCCTTATACCGATGTGACTACATGGAGGTGCCATATTCAAGGCCAGGAAGGTGATTACATTCACTACAGAAGGTAGACTCAAACTGGTTCCAGAATCCACAGTATTTTTCTTTCCTTTTCAAGGTGAGATGTGCCTCAATGGGACACTGAGATTTTCTCTGCCATGAAGTCACTAAGACAAAAAAGTGATAAAACGCTTCTTTGAGCTTTACACATACAACAAACAAGAAGGGAAGAATGCCTCTTTTTAACTGAATCATTTTGAGGAATGTTAGGCTGGATCTACACTGCACTGTATCCCAGGAGCTGATCCCAGAATATCTGCTTTGAACTAAATTATTAGAGTCTACAACAGTGGTTCCCAACTTTTGTTCCTCCAGGTGTTTTGGACTTCAGCTCCCACAGTTCCTAACAGCTGGTAAGATGGCTGGGATTTCTGGAGGCCCAAAGATTGGGAACCATTGGTCTACACTGATAATCTGGGATAAGCAGATAATCTGGGATCAGATCCTGGAATATAGGGCAGCGTAGATCCAGCCTAAGATGCATCAAGTCTAAGTCCTTCAATATGACTATGCAAATAGACATACAAGGACCACATCCTGCTTAAACTTGTTTAATACTGCAAATCATTGGTATTTTTACAACTTGTGGTTAAATTGGTGAACTTTGTCTTTTGGACGAATGTGCCACAAAATAGTTTTTCCCCCAGAAACATGCCTAACAGAAGTCTGATGAGTTCTGCTTATTAAAAATAATGCGCTCTCGCCAGTATTTCTGAACTTGCATCATCTCATCAGACTGGCATGCCATGGCAATTAGTCAGTTAGATAATTACAAAGGAACCACAAAGAAACACTTCTTTCTCCTCAACCTTGTTATGCAGAAAGTTCACCGCATTCCGGAAACAAAAAGAATTTGTAAAATATGTGAACTTCTCATATATACAGTACTAGGTGGAAGACAGTCTGTGAAAAGCAGGCCTTTTCTTCTGATCCATTGATAATCTAGGTTCAAATGCTTTTTAGTAGAACTGTAGAGTTAAATTCCCTCCCACAAAGCTACTAGTGTAGTTTACTTATCTTGTATACTGCATAACTTTATCTAAACAAGATTCAGTGGTCAATTGTCACTTTAGATGCTGCATAATAATAACACTTTATTTATATTCTGCCCTTCTCACCCCAAAGGGGACTCAGGGCAGATCATAGTACACATACGCGGCCAAGATTCAATACTGGGGTTTTTTTTGGACGGGACAAAGACAACTAATGAAATTTTTATAATACGAGCACACATACACACCATAATGGTGGAAGAAATATATGCCCTTTTACTTAGGGTGCAGTGACACCATGGATTAATGCAGTTTGACATCATTTTAACTGCCATGGCTCAATGCTATGGGTTCATAAGGAGTTGTGGAGTTCCCAGTGGTGCGGTGAGTTAAACCCTTGTACCGGTAGGTCGGAGGTTCGAATCCAGGGAGAGCACAGATGAGCTCCCTCTGTCAGCTCCAGCTCCCCATGTGGGGACATGAGAGAAGCTTCCCACAAGGATGGTAAAACATCAACAACATCCAGGCGTCCCCTGGGCAACATCCTTGCAGATGGCCAGTTCTCTTACACCAGAAGTGACTTGCAGTCTCTCAAGTTGCTTATGACACGAAAAAATAAAATAAAATAAAATAAAATAAGAGTTGTAGTTTAATGTGGCACCGGGACTATTTGGTAGAGAAGGCTAAAGACCTTGTAAAACTGCGACCCCCATACCATAGCATAGTGGGGTCAAATGACTCTAATCCAACAGTATAGATGCACCCTTCATTTAGGACCTCCTTTATAAGCTACTACACCCTCTTCTCATCACTGTTGCCATTGATTCTACTGAAAATAATAATATTCACTATTATCTGTAGTTATATGTTACTAACCACATGAACTCTACCGCTATGGGGATTGTACTCTGCTATGAAAAGCAGACAAACGTCTGACAATTGCTAAATATAATGGAAACAAAGGTATGTTATGCAAATGGCTGGAGGGGCTTATGAATTCTATATTTACAGTCCTTGTGAACTTTAAAGCGGGAATCCTCTTGGTGACTCATGCCAGAATAACTCCTTTTTGCCATGCTTCACAGCACTGCATGCCATCAGATAGAGGCATCCCTGTTGCCAGAGAAAGCTGTTCTGTCAGTCAGTGAACAGTTCAGAAGCGCCAAGCCAGGCGGCTCTCTGTATTGACACAGGCGACTTCCTGTTATTCCCCCACCCTTGGCTGCATATCTTCAACCATTTTATGCCTATTACTGTAATGTACACTGGCCAAAGGGATCTCAGCCTTAATCTGTTTTCAAATTAATAAGACTGTTTTCCAATTGATAAGACTGTTGATAGGATTGCCCTCTTTTTGTATGGCTACTTTATCTCAAGATGCTCAGCAATTGATTTGCTCTATTTTGTTATCTTTGTTATAAAATATTTAAATTACATTTCATTCCATCATATTCCCCATAACATATAACATATTCTATACTGCTTCAACTCAGATGGTGCATTAGTTTAGCATTTCTTATTAAACTGGAGGGAGAGGGGAAATAATGTAGCATCACCTTTAAGGCTTTTCTTTTAATTTGATAAGGCTTTTTGGATATAAGGTCTACTTCTTCAGATGCAGTGCTGTGATATTATAGTGTCAGATTCAAAAGTTCTTTTATATAGTTGTTGGAGTGGAAGAAAATGCAATAGGATCCAGAAAGATGCAAATCATGTTAATTGCTGTAAAAGGATGTGCGAGGTAACACAACAGGATTGCTTCTTCCATCCTGATTGCATATCTCTCTACTATTTTTTTAGAGAGGATGAGGAAAAATATTGGTTTAAAATCCTGGAGAGCCACTGCTAATCAATGCCCATTATACTAATCTTATGTGCTCTGGCACCACGAGATGCAGAGCTAACATTAAAAAATGGGGCCACAAAGTGAAGTCCACAATATGAGAGTGTGGAGAAGAGCAAACCACAGACTACCTATTACAATGCAGCCTGAGCTCTGCCACATGCACAATGGAGGACCTTCTTATAGTAACACCAGAGGCACTCATAGTGGACATTTAGTATAATGCCATGTTTTTCAACTTTTGTTTGTTTTTAAATATATTACAACTGTACCCTCAGTTCGCTTCTGACACAATAAATAAATAATCTTGACAGGATGATGCTCTAATGTGAAATAAGAATTTTTCCAATATTGTTACATGCCTCCAAGTTGACTGCAATTTATGGTAACCTTATTGTAGGGTTTTCTTGGTAATAATTACAGTATTCAGAGGAGTTTGACATTGCCTTTCTGAGAATGCACTTACCCAAGGACGCCCAGTGGGTTTCCCATATACATATATGAAATATAATGAGTGGATATTCTTAAGAGCTGCCCAACTCGCTGTTCAGAGGGTGTGGTGGATCACGTCCTGTAATGGAGGTTGGGTCTTCTTCCTAGTGTCCTGCATCATTCCTGCCCCAGGAGGAGAGATGGGAATGGCCTGAATTCATTGGTTGGGAAGCATAACCAGAGCAACCCATATGGTCGGGTGAAGCTTATTTAGATGGCCACTTATGCACACTCACCAGTATTCTCCAAGAGCCAACCAATCTTCCCACCCTTTATTGAAGCCATCTTATTTTGTATTATGTGTTTCTGTCGCAACTTGGATAGCAATTGGCATAGGTCCAAGATCTGGAATATAGATTGCCAGTGTCACAAAGGCATTGGTAAACAGGAGCACCTGGTGGCGCAGTGGGTTAAATCCCTGTGACGGCGGGACTGAAGACCGACAGGTCGCAGGTTCGAATCCGGGGAGAGGCGGATGAGCTCCCTCTATCAGCTCCAGCTCCTCATACGGGGACATGAGAGAAGCCTCCCACAAGGATGATAAAAACATCAAATCATCCGAGCGTCCCCTGGGCAACGTCCTTGCAGAGGGCCAATTCTCTCTCACACACACACCAGAAGCGACTTGTAGTTTCTCAAATCGCTCCTGACACGACAAAAAAATAAAAAATTGGTAAACAAATGGGGGTTCTCTATGGGCATAATGGGGTTTTGCCCAGCTCTGGAGCAGATATCTTTTCTGTACTCCTTGGTAGCAGGGAGAGTTTACATGGGGGCATTGGCCCACATAGATCTTTCCTGACTTCTCATGTATTCCAGCAATAGGCCAGAGTATTGGATGATGGCTAGATTGGTCGATGGCTAGATCTGAGATCAATATGTATGAGTAAACCTTACTTACAACTATAACCAATATAGTTGTGACTTTCTTTTTTACAACTACTTTGTGTGCACCAGTCTTTTGTCAAGCAAGGCAGATCTCATACACTACAGGTCCAAAAAGAGGTGGGAACATCCTGGACTCATTGGCTGGGAAGCCCAACCGGAGTGATCTACTATATATGCAGGTATCAATTTGGTCAGGTGAACACACCATTACTCTTTTGTCTGTGAAGCATGCAGCCTTTTTACACTTTTTTTTCAATACACAGGGAGGGTAACTGTGAAACAATTTAATTGTAAAGAAATCCTTATTTGATTATTATTGGGGGTTGTTGAGTTTTTGGCATTGCTGTCAAGGTTTCATTTAAAAAGCAATAAAAATATTGACAGATTATTAAAAAAAACTATTAAACTGTAGACAAGAAGACCCTGTTTCATAGCATCTCACTTTAACAATGTCAGTAGTAGTCCATTCAAAATCCCATTTAACAGTTTTTGTTTTGAAAAGCAACACCAAGAAATGAGGTATGCAAATTTTAGATATCACATCAGACTCATTTTATGCAACTAAGTGTATTTTACAACTAACATTGTACAAAATAGACAGTACCATTGTGCCTGTAGAAGTACTGCAGTTTAAAACAGAAAAAATACATTACTACAATAAATCAGCAAACATCACAACTGTCAGGGGCTACAAAATTCCATTATTCTAGATGAAGATCTGTTATATTTAATATGTTTAGGTTAAACTTATTACCAAAATTCCCATCCTGTTGTTTTATACTGGTTCACAAAATAAATACTTTCTGTGAGAAAAAGTGAATTCCTTGCTAGGATGTGGTGATTCTTCCGTCAGTAACCAGATGAACAATGTAAATATATAGGTTTAACAGCCCAAGTCTATGTGTTTAAATTCGACTGACTTCAACAGGATATACTCTCAATATATAATTTAACTAGATATATTCTTTTGTTCTTCCAGGCTTCTATCTGCTGATGACCCTACAGTAAAAGGAGCCATCTTTGTTGAGTCAGCCTGTATCTTCATGGATTTGGTCTATTCGTGATGGTATCTGAAGGTATAAAATGCTGGTAGGAGCAAATAATGGAGCAACAGGAAGACATAACAAATTTAGAGAAGAATGAAATAGAATGTTCTAATGATTGATGCAAATAATAACAGTGGTATTTTGATTTTAAGTACATTTACTTAAAAGTCAATTCATAAGCACCATGGGGCTCATACTCTTATAAAGGATGTAGCATCAATAGCAGACTGCAGTCCTATACAATTTACTTTGTTGAAAGTATCACTGAACCAAATTTTTGAGTAAGCATGCATAGGATTGTGCTGTCAATTATAATAAATGGTTTCTGGATGGTTAGGACAGCAGACCAAGCTACAGAGTCATTTCAGGATTGAATGTACATTCAGAGCTGTGAGCATCCTTGATTGGCACGCTTAAGTAAGAAAACACTTTTAGTGCTATAAACCATCTTCCCTTCCATTGTATTTCTTATTATAGTTCTAATGAAAGAACTGTTGCTTAACTTATACATTTAAACTGATTGTAAACAAAACTGCAAAACCTATACTCATAAAAATATTTTATTGGAAAGTTTATATAATACTGAAGGGGACTGTAAATGTTTTTGTTCTGTATCTATATATTGCTAAAATGCATAAATGTTCACAGCTATATCGAAAAAGAAAGAACTGCATTTTTCCTATGATTTGTTCTATAATATTTAATAAAGGATCTTTTTTAAAAAGAAAAGGTTGATATAGGAGCAAATGTTATATATATATATATATATACACACTACTTATTTATTCACTCTGGTGCAACAATTAATATAACTGGCCTGGATCCAAAAGGCTGCACAGGGAATTTCCACTCACACGCAAATACACACACACACACCGCTTCCAAGGCTTACCTCTTCCAGCTCCAGTCTTCTGCACTGCCCACTTCCAAGACTCAAGAGATCTTTGGGAATGGTCTTTGACACAGTGCAAAAAGACGTGACTGAAGAAGAAAAGGAAAACCACAAGCCTGCATTAAAACTCTTTTACAAATTGAAGAGCCTCTTTGGATCCCAGCCTTTAGCTGAACTGATATAACACTTTAACACTGAGCTACTCTGGGAGAAGGAAAGATCATTTGGGCCTAATGAGAACAGTATCACTTTTGGGTTTCAAGGGATTGACAGTAGTTAGGTATTAAAATCTAGATTATAAAAGAAAATAAAACAGAAAATGGCTAATACCTTGAGAACAAATTAATGTTCCTTAACATTGATTACCAGTGTATAAGGACAAGGTAGTACTATACTTGAATTATAAAGCTAGAACAGTTAATGCTTGTAACAATTTACTCTGTTTTTTGCTTGTAACAATTACAATAAATGTTCTAAATGTGTGAGAAAGATATCAGAGAAGCCAGCAACATAACTGGTAACAGTAATCTAGTAAAATGTGTCAGACATTGGCAAAAATTCATACAAACATTTTATTTAATAACATTTTTCCTATTCAACCACACCAAGTACCAGCAGGTGTTTTAAAGATAATCATTACGAAAAGTCTTTTGCAGCAATAATTGATTAAGTTGATCTTTGACTTGCATACATATAACTATGTTTCACAATTCTCAAATAATACATATTTAGGCAGCTTGAACTATGTTATAAAAATTTAATTCAGTACATGCCAATAGTATAGAATCCAAGAGCTGTGTTAGAATTCACTAAAATAAGGTGAAAATTGACTTACCAGTAACACTGCATCAAGAACATTCAAACCACATTTTCATGGCACCTTTGTATATGAAGATTAAAAAGTTGATCTGAAAATGTTTTTATATGGCAATGAAATTTAATTTCACTGCCGCACTTTACTTGTATAAAACGGCATAAATCATATTTGAGTAAACATACAAATCGTGCATGGTGGGTAACAAGTCATGAAAATGTGGTAACTGTTGGCAGAAGTTGTGTATATTTGCAAATTTTGGAGAGGAAAGACTAAAGGAACAGGAGTAAATAAACTTTAATGAGATTCTCCATTCAACGACGAGGCTTCTCCTCTAGGTGAAGACGACCTGGACATTCCTCTCTCTGTATTGTCAGAACTAGAACCGCTCTGACTGTGCTGATCTGCAGAAGCTGCACTGGAAGCAGGGGGTGACTTAGTTTTTTCTTTAAAGTCTGTAATAATGACTGTCAGATCACCAACAGTAACTTCCAAGTGTTGGGCACTACTTCGATCCACGTTTTTCAACCTGGGCCTAAAACAATATAAATAATCAAATTAAGGAGGAAATTCAGAACCCCTCACTTCTTCCTTGAAAGCCATCTTTAGATGCCACACATACGCATATAGCTGCCTTACTCTGGGGAAGATAATTCATCTAGAATTGCATTATCTATCTCAGGTAGAAACCTCTTCTAAGAATGTTGTAATTGGAAAAGCCAAGTGCTGATTTTAGGACCTTGCATATCCAAACCGGAGTTTAACCAGTGGCTTACAGCTTGATATTAATAGCCTATTAAAACTCTGCTAATCACTACTGTGAATATAGAGCAATAACGGAAGTCAGATATTTAATAAAACAAGTCATCCAAAACTAGGAATTTTCCCAATTGTGGGAACAGAGTACATTTGTCAAGCATACTGGGATAAAGAAGAAAAGTGAACAGGAGATGTCACGTTAAAGAAAACATGGGAGCACCCAAAAAAGGAAACAAAAACAACCTGGCATGTTTCCATTAACCTCTTTTTATTTTCACAACTTGAAATACTGCAACAGTGGTTCTCAACCTGTGGGTCCCCAGATATTTTGGCCTTCAGCTCCCAGAAATCCCAACAGCTGGTAAACTGACTGGGATTTCTGGGAATTGTAGGCCAAAACACCTGGGGAACCACAGGTTGAGAACCACTGTACTACAATGTTATGGCCGTAACTGTTGCCACTAGAAATTAATTTCATCTGAGTTTCTAAGTAGTTTCCTTCACATATGTTTAACAGCTGTGTCACTGCTATCATGTGGAATGTCTATTATCTAGCACTGATGGCAAGTCCAAGAGTGCATAATGCAAGTCTGGAGATAAAAGTATAAGAGCTCTATTGCATCAAATCAAAATCAACCTAGGCTAGCATCTTACTTTCCACAGTGGATAATATCTAAATATTTTTGGAAAGTCACAGGCACAACATATATTGAATGTTGTTTCCTGCTGTTGTTCTTCAGAAATTGTATTTAATTGCATACTGCCTCTGAACATAAGAGTTCCATATAAAACCAGCTCAAGTGTAACATTTCTCATCTTGTTAAGCTAAAGGCACAAAACTTATTGCCTATATTGTCCTTCCTGTCCTTTTGTTTCTGGAATACTACACTGAAGATTTTCTGGGTTCATTAACCAATTTCATTTTATGTCTGAATTACTTTAGACATTTCAGATCCTGGTTTATTCAAGCATGATAACTGCATTTTTCTGATTCAGATGTAACAGGAAGCTATGGTTAATTAGGCCAGAACAGTTTTATTTGTGGCACCTTTACTTTTCAGTATCCTAAAAAAGATCTCAAAGCCTTCTGAAAAAGCTTGAAAACATTCAGGTCCAAGTTAACAAGACATCTTCCAGGGGAAGGCATTCCAAAGATACAGTCAAACATGAAAAACGGTTGGGTCCAGCCCTCATTAACCTAGATCTAATAGCTAGTTCCAACTAAAATAGATCAACTGACACAGAAAGATATACATAAGTGCTGACTTACAGTTCAACGGCTATTTCAATGGTGTATTTAGGAACAGAAACCGGATTTAAGTCAAACTTAAAGACCTCTCATAGTAACAAAATTAACAATAAGATCAAACAGTAGGATACTACATATTTCAGCCACCTGGGGTACAAATGGGAATCTATGGCCTTCCAGATATTATTAGCTTCCAGATCCCATTAGTCCTTGTCATGCTGGCTGGAGCTGATGGGAGAATTGAAAAATATAGGTGTACTGCCTTTTTAGTTTGCAGCAAGCAGCAAAGAGCTCTAGTATGAGACTCAGGTATCCTCTTTATGGCAGTTATATAAAGGTCTCTCTAGAATTGGGCGAATCTCCAATTCCCCAACCTTGCCAAAGACTAAGGCTCCCTCTACACTGCCACATAATCCAGATTATCAAAGTATATAATCCAAATTATCTGATATGGACTGGATTATCTGAGTCTAAGCTTCCATCTAATCCACTCAAATGGGATTTTCTGTATAGACATGGGGAAATCCCATATGCATGAGCCACAGAGACCAGGAAGAATGCAACAGTTATGAATCATAGTTGAGTAACCACAATTAAGAACCCAAGACTGAGAAATAAGCATACAAATTGTCTCATACTATCAGACTATTGATCTATGGCTATTGTTTATTGTGGCATGTAGAAATACATGCAAATCTAAAGCAGGGTGGCTAACTTCTTAGGTGACTGGGGCATTTGTTGCCCTTAGTGGGCCACACCATCTAATCCCTCACCTAAAAAATACCATCTCAAAATAGCAAGTTGTTCCCCTAGACACCATGGGACAGGCACAATTTGACATTGAAATTGAATTTAACCTCCCTTTTCGGTTTCTAACAATGAAAAATTGGTGGTCTAAAATAGTTCTCCCTCAGTTATATTTAATGATATTGAAATGATGGCTACTGGTGGCATCATTTGCCACTTGGGAGACTGTGGTTTCTATACTGTTTCCTTTGTCTAAGACAATGATCTTTTCTAGCCCATTCACATGAGATCATGAACAATATAGAAAACAAAATCATAAATAACATTTTCGATCCTGTTAAAGTTGGGATCTTGTTTACACAATATATGCAATACATACAATCAGTACAGTTTAAATTCTGCAACTACAGATACACGCCAGATGCCAGCTGAAATTCTTTCCCCCTCATCTGAGCATTTCTGAATTATGTAAAGAGCTGGAATAATCATCCGGTTTTCAGATTTACTTTGTAAATTCCCTTTTCCTCAGTCTGAAACTGCATGAAAAATGTGAAGAGATCCAAAAACTATGTTGCATCTGTGGCTTGACTTGATCTTTGTTGATATGGTCACTGTCATAAGACAGACTTCATGTCCTGAATTTCAAGAGAGAGGTAAACATGTCCTGGTTTTAGGCTATATAAATACTAAAGTTCAGGGGTTTTTAAAAAAGCACACACACACACGTGAGATATTTGGTACAGTTTAAAATACCGTATATACTCAAGTATAAGCCAACCTGAATATAAGCCGAGGCACCTAATTTTACCACAAAAAAACCCTGGGAAAACTTATTGACTTAAGTATAAGCTGAGGGTGGGAAATGTAGCAGCTAATGGTAAATTTCAAAATTAAAACAGATACCAATAAAATTATATTATACGAGGCAGCAGTAGGGTAAATGTTTTTGAGTATTTACATAAAACTGTAATTTAAGGTAAGACTTCCCAACTCTGATTAAACCATTATTCTAACATTCTTCAATGTAAATGTGCTTATGTATCCTTCCAATAATATTAGAGAATAAAATAATAAATGTAATAAGAGAAAAATAATAAATGTAACAAAAATAAAAGAGTAAATTAATGTAAGTGTAATAATAATAATAATAATAATAATAATAATAATAATAACAGAGCAAAATAATAAATAACCTTGACTCAAGTATAAGCCAGGAGGGACTTTTTCAGCCAAAAAGGGCTGAAAAAGTCAGCTTATACTCAAGTATATACAGTATATACATTTTCAATAAATAGATGAATTCACTTTGTCCAAAAGCAAATATGTAAAACTGGCCTTCAGATCCTTTCAAATCAATACATTGGAGAACTATTTCCCCATCCTGTAATCCATTCTTACTGACAAACGTTTAAATTGAATATATCTTCCTCATATGATTAACCATCTGTTCTAAAGGCAGGAAAATATTCTTTTAATGTCACACAGAGTTTATTTAATCTCCATATTGAGCTGGGATGTCATAGTAAATGTCATAAAAATGAACTTAAATAACATAGCTATTCTTTTCAAAAGACTTTTACAGAGGAATGAAGATCACAACCCTAATATATTCTAAATAGCACAAAACAATCTCAAGGTTTACCTGGTTTTCTTATGACTGTTCTTTTTGCTAGCAGTTTCCTTTTCATTTTTTTCCTTTTCTACTTTGTCTTTTTTCTCTTTCTTTGACTGTGTCGGGGGCACAAACTGCTGGGTAACCTGCTGCGCAACCAGCTGAGAAACAGGTCGAGGTTTCCTGTGTGTAGATATATATAAATATATATGAATGCTTACATTTCAAAGTAATACATTGCATTTATTTCTGTAAATTAATCATATAGTCCACAGTACATAAGAGCTCAACACCAAACTATGATTACATTTGTATATATAAACTCTTCCTTTTCCAAAGAACGCTAAGACTCTAAAGCAAAGAAGTTCCTCTCAACTAGATCAAAATGTTATGATGTCCTCTAGTATGAATGTGTGAAAAACGAAAGTGCTTTAATCAAGCCAGATCAAAAAGTCAAATGTATTCAGGAAAAGTCTGGAAAAACAATGTTCCAGCATTTATTTTACAATTCAAATAAAGCAGTGGTTCCCAAACGGTGGTCCGTGAACAACCAGTGGTCCGCAAGAACTAAAATATGGTCCACAGCCTCACCGTTACTACATCATTGCAACAGAGTGACTGGTCTCGCAAAACCCTCTTACAGTGCCGAGGCTTATTAAATATGATTTTCTGTGGGCAAGCAGATGGCGACTACTGGATGGCACATATTCTATATCAGAAACTAGAGCTGATGTGGTCTATCCAATGCGGTTTTCTGAATCAGCACTCCACATAACCAAACTGAATGTAAAGTTGACTAAAAACTGATTCCTTACCCTTTTGGTACTAGTGTTGGAGAGTGGTCCCTGGTCAAAGTGGTTCCTGGTCAAAAAAGGGTCGGAAGCCACTGTACTAAAGTGTCTAGCCTCCCCACCACCACCAAACCCAGTAACTTCAGCAGTTTAGGTGCTGCAGAAGGGCCCTGAGAGAGACAAATCAACCCCAGCCCCAGATCTGCTGTCTTAGGGAGAGATGGTGGAAGCAACATCCTGCTGGCATCAGCAAGCTCTACCAGCTATGGAATATACAGTCCAATTCTGTCCACCAATACTGATGTTTCTATTAGCAGGAGTACATGTTAAAAGCAAGATGCCAGATGAGGATATGAGTAGCTTTGAATATTCTTAATCTAAGGTCATTCTCTCAAGAAAAGATTGGTCTCCTCAACTATGCCAGTTACCAACCACTTTATTCCTTCCAATGGGAACAGGAATGTAACATTTTTTAAATCTACCAAAAAAAAGCTCATAAAGCTTCCCCACGCTTTCTGCTCTGACCAGCATGAGCCAGGTTCTGTTGCTCCACTCTTCACTAGCCTCACTTAGTATTGTACTGTTTCTTTGTCTTCAATGAACCATACTTTGATGCATGCATATTGATTGAGAAGTCCCACTGAGCTCAATGAAATTGCTTCTCAGTGGGCAGACACAGGATTTCATTGTTGGGTTGCAATTTTTATATCCTTGCATATGTGATTCCTGAGTTGACAAGTAGGGTTCCTTTTTGGATCTCTTACATCTCACAAGAAAACTTACTGAGAGTAATTATGGGACCCCAAAATAAGTGGAAACAAACTACGTATTAGCTAAATCAAAAATAAGTAATGACAAGCAATCAATAAAACAATGTTACTGAATCAAGTATTTCCCAGAAAATGTTCAACTTCCAATTTGAGTGATGATCTGATTTAGTATACTGTGTGATTTATCTTTAATATGCAAAGTATACCAATAAAACAGTGCAATACTATATATGTGTGTGATCAAAAATAAGTTCCATTGAGGTCAAAGATAATTGCATTCAGGTAAATGGATACAGCACTTCAGTCCTGGTTTGCTAACCAAGATGTAGTAAGTGGGAAATATCACTTTGAACACAAGAAGGAAGATCTCTTTGGACACAGTGATACATTCTTGAGATAGACTGCACTTATTGCTATTTTTTAAAAAGTTATATAGATAGATAGAAATAAATATCTCGGTTGGCAAACCAGGACCGCAGTGCTGTATCCATTTACCTGAAAGCAATTTTCTTTTACCTCAATGGAAATTATATTTTTGATCATACACATATATATTGTATATTAAAGATAAATCATATATATTGTTATATTGCTTTGTTATATTTAATGGCATCAAAATGTGCCAAATGTAAGCTGTCCTGAGTCCCCCTTCGGGGGTAGAGAAGGATGTGGTAGAAATGCCGGAAATAAATAAATAAATAAAAATAAAATATATACACTAGCTGTCCCCAGCCACGCTTTGCTGTGGCCTCAGTCTGTTTCCTTCCTTCCCTACCTCTTTCCTTCCTTATCTCCCTCCCCCCCTTTCTATCCCTTCTCTCTTCTTCCTTCCTTCTCTACCTCTTTCTTTCCTTTCTTCTCTCCTTCCTTCCTTCTTTCCCTCCCTCCTTATTTCCATCCTATCTCTTTCCTTCCTTCATTCTTTCTCTCCTTCCTTCCTTCTCTCCTTCCTTCCCTCCCGCTTTCATTCGTTTCCTTTTTTTCTTTCCTTTTCTTCTTCCCCTTCCTTCCCCACTTTTTCTTTCCCTTCAGCTTTCTCTCCTTTCTTACTTCTCTACCTCTTTCTTTCCTCTCAAAGCTGGTATGGCCAGCTCTTTCCCTTGCGCAGAAGGGGGCGAGGTCAGGGGAGTTGTTTCTATGCATGCACTATATCATCATTTAGGTTTTTGGGGTTTCTTAAGTCCCTTCCATTGTGTTTTTCTGTGTTTTTCTGAGTGATGGTCACTTGTTGGTCCATTAGGTGTCTTTTGTGTCATTTCGTCCTGTGGTATTTGAGTTATGTTAATCCCACAAACGAACATTACATTATATATATACACACACACACACACACATATACACACACACACACAAACACACACACACACACACATACTAGCCATCCCCTGCCACGCATTGCTGTGGCCCAGTCTGTGTATATGTGTTTTGTGTGTGTATATGTGTATATATGTGTGTTTGTGTGTTTATATATGTGGTTTTGTGAATGTGTTATAATGTATTTTTTATTTTTTGGCTTTTTAAGTCTTTTCTGCTGCGTTTTTTAGTGTTTTATGAGTGATGGTCACTTGTTGGCCTGATACGAGCATTGTGTCCAAATTTGGTGTCATTTCGTAGTGGTTTTTGAGTTATGTTAATCCCACAAATGAACATTACACACACACACACACACACACAAAGGGTAGAGATTCCAAGAAACATTTACATTCTTCCTAAACCCATTCAGGCATTGCCATTTCAGTGGAATGAGAAATTATATTCTAATGACTTCTGGTTAGCATTTCTAATAATTCTTTGCTTTTAAGCAGTGGTAGGGCCTCCAAAACAACCATTACGTGTTGCTGACACTCTCTGGAAATATTTGATGTTGAAAATTGTGGTTCACAGGCCACAATCATTTCTGGTAGAATATTTGGTGAGCCTCTTTGAGCGCATGATTCCCATCACTCATGTTAATGTTTAAAAATATAACAGCATACTAGCATGCAAAAGAAGAAAAAAGAAGTAACTAAAAGTTATTTTTAAATTCTTAAATGCATATTCATTTTTAAAAAGACATAATCACTTCCAAAGTTAACTATAACGTTAATACCGACCACTCTAAATACTATTATATTCATTAATTGTATTACTGTTAATGCTATACATTATATATTTGGGGGAGTGGAATTATTTCCATGCATAATATGGTTGTACAGAATGGTTTTGTAAAAACGAGATAAATTACTTTAAAAAAAAAACCCTACACATTAGAAACAAACCAAAAACTATTACTTTAATCAGATTCTATATTTATCACTCTAAAAAAAGTTCAAGATTATTATAACTTGAAGAGGCATATGTTTCATCATACAGTATAACAATTTGTTTATGTCAATCCTTGCTTGCTTCAATCCTTGCTTGGAAAATCATTTGCATCAACCGCACAGTATTGGTACATCTCATCTTGAGTAAATGATATATACTGCAACAACTTGTTCCAAAATTGGGATATAATTTTCTTATACAGAAATAAAAGATCATTTTGTCTAGCAGAGAGATTATTTCAAAGAATATGCATGTATTAAGTTAGTTATCAATCTTCTCTACTCAAGTGTCCTGAGCCTAACATGGCCAAGAGTAAGGACTGGTGGGAGTTGTAGTCTAATAATTTCTATAAAGTTCCAGATTGGAGAAAAATCATTACCTTTATATATATAAATCCCAAAGAAATTCTTGTCATGAATGCATTGCATACTATTATGGTGCTCTAAATTAGGTGTAAATAAACATCAGATTTGTGCAATCTACATTGTTTTTATTAGAATCCAGAGATCCATCAACCAGAAAATAATGTCTGAGAGGCATGGAGTTGGATGTAATCTGGTGACACAGAGATAGAGCTATTAACAATTGCAAAATCAAATACAAACCTTTCTCTGGGTTACTGCATATCAGGAATCGTAACATAGCATTCAAAAAGTGCACAGAGAACTAGGGTGCATCTACACTGTAGAATTAATGCAGTCTGATACTTCTTTAGCTGTCATGGCTCAATACTATGGAAATCTGGGATCTATAGTTTTACAAGATCCTTGGGATTCTATGGCAAAGAGTGCTGGTGCCTCACCAAACTACAACTCTCATGATTTCATACATTAAGCCATGGAAGTTAGTGCTATCACATTACACTCCTTCTAAAGTACATATATAGATGCACTCCCAGACAAAAACAACTAATACACTCATTTTGCAGGGTTTTTTTTTTTTTTTTTAGTCTCAGGAGTGACTTGAGAAACTGCAAGTCGCTTCTGGTGTGACAGAATTGGCCATCTGCAAGGATGTTGCCCTGGGGATGCCTGGATGTTTTGATGTTTGTACTATCCTTGTGGGAGGCTTCTCTCATGTCCCCACATAGAGAGCTGGAGCTGACAGAGGGAGCTCATCTGCACACTCCCCGGATCCGAACCTGTGACCTGTCAGTCTTCAGTCCTGCCGGCACAAGGATTTAACCCATTGTGCCACCAGGAGCTCCATTTTGCAGGTAATAAACATTGAGGTTGATAAACATTTAAGGATAATGCCTGCCGCAGCAATAAATGACAGTTTTACTACTAATTTTTACAATACTAGGAACTGAAAAATGTTGAATATACACTGGAAATTATCCCAGATTATTTGCCCTTTAAATATATATTGCACCTCAAAGGGCTTTTTGTGGAAGATTGCAAGTATTTCTTGAATGTAATGGTCCCCACTACTCCAGATTTTTTTTAAAATAAAAGGCCCTCTTATATGAGTCTAACAAAATTAACAAAATTAATTATGCAGTTTAATAAAACTAATTATGATAATATAAATAATATAATAAATACTATTTCTTACAGCTAAGTGAAAATACACAACTGTGAAGGCACTTTGTTCGACCGTATTTCTAAATAGCAGTATGTATATACTCATTCCTTTGGCATAACTGAAGTGTGTTAATATATTTCTTGGGTCTAAGGGGAAGGTTGGGAGATATCAGTGCATTGGTCTCCAGAAAGAGGTTTCCACATATGTTGTGATTTTCATGTAATATATAACATGGCTTAGTTTTTGTGAGCCCAGTGAAACCCTGCATTTATTCGCTCTCGTTTTCTCCCCCACTTCCTGCATGCATGCATGCATGAAGACTTAATTAGAACTTCGTTTCAGTCTCAATAATTCCTGGATTGTCATTTAGGTATGGGCTGGATCTACACTGACCTATATCCCAGGATCTGATCCCAGATTATCTGAGATATAAAACAGTATAGATCTGGCCATGTATAGGTTGAGCATTCCTCATTTAAAATATTTGGGAACAAAAGTGCGTTGAATTTCAGATGTTTTCCGATTTTGGAATATTTGCATATATTTGCATATATTATGGGGCATCCCAGATGTCTAACCATGAAATTGATTTATATTTCACATGCATTTTATATACATAATCTAAAGGAAATTTTATACAGGATGTTTTTAAATTAATTTTTGGGCATGAAACAAAATGTGTGTATATCAAACTATCAGAAAGCAAAGGTGTGATTATCACAGACACCCAAGTGCAGAATTCTGGGGTTTGTAGTTTAGTGAGCCTGTTAAAGTCCTCACTAAACTACAGAATTCTGCAGGAGGAAGCAACTGGATTTAAAGTGGATTAATTCTCTAGAGCAGGGGTAGGGAACCTTTGGCCCTCCAGCTGTGGTGGACTTCAACTCCCACAATTCCTTGAGGCTTGGCATTGGGCCAAGGTAAGCCTTTGGGGCGAATGCCTAGCCTCAAGGAATTGTGGGAGTTGAAGTCCACCACAGCTGGAGGGCCAAAGGTTCCCTACCCCTGCTCTAGAGCAATGAGGTCCTGAAATACATTCACTCTATTTTGTGGCACACATTTTTGCTTTGCTCCTCATCTCAAGGTTTTCAAGTGGGACCAATACAATGAAACAGTGAGCTGTAAAGCACAATACACAATCAAAGGTCCCTTCCACAGAGCTATATAAAATCTACACTGAACTGGATTATATGGCAGTGTGGACTCACATAACCCAATTCAAAGCAGATATTGTGGATTTATCTGTGTTGATATTCAAGGTTATATGGCTGTGAGGAAGGGCCCAAAGTCCCAAATCCGCATATTACTTATCACTTGAGAGCATATAATCACAGACTTCTGCTTTTCTGCTTGTATGAATCATAGAAGCAGAGTTGTAAACCCCCCCCCCCCCCCCCCCCCCAATAGGCAATCAGGTCTAATCTCCTGCTCAATGCAGGATGTCTAGCTTGCAATTGTGAAATGCAATTCAGAGTGCTTGCCGGGGTCTCTACTTATGGATGGAAGCACATAGTACTCTTTGGCAGAGAAAACCGAAATAGTTCTGTCTTTTTGTTGTGATTGGTCCTCATTTTACCATCCTTGCTGAGCAGTTATCCCACCATTTCCTTGCTTATTCTCTGGTTTCCAAAATATTTGTAAAACCCCTTGACATTGCTTTCTGCTTGCCTAGCTCGTCTCAGCTCATTTGAAGCTTTATCTTTCCCCAAACTGTTCCTGCAAGCTTGAGCTACTCATATATTCCTTCAGGTGATTTGTCTTTCCTTCCTTTCCTTCTATATATGCTCTTTTCTTTTCTCTTCCTCCTCAAGTTAGCTGTGCAGTCACCTTTTGCTTTTCAGATATTTTCCATTCTTCTTCTTGCATGGAATGTTTTTTGCCCTTGCTTTTAGCAACTCCCTCTTCATGAACACCCATCCTTGTTAGGTGTTGCTTTCTGTAAGAATCTCTGGCCACAGGATTCTACCAAGTACTTCCCTGAACTTGATATGATCAAGCTCAGCTTTCCTGAAATTCTGGGTCCCTGTTTGACTATAATCATGAATTCATGGCCACTTGCTCATAAAATGCCAAATGCTTTGATTCTAGAGACCAGCTTCTCAGAACTGGTTAAGATCAAACCTAGGATTGCGCTGATCCCATTTTGCCTTCCTCCCCCATTTGGCACCCCGCCATCCTGACTGATGTCAATGCACATGATGGCAGACAAGTAGGTCCCATATTGTGGGAGACCCCTGTGACACTGAGGGAGGGTGTGACCGTTTTTGTGGCCAGGGGAGTCTCACTGTGGACCATATCCAGGATGCAATCTTGCAATAGAGATGCTGAATCAGTCCCGGATTATGGGTCAGTTTAGATTCACCAATTTAGAATCTAGCTGCCGACCTCTTCTGTTTTGCATTCCAAATCATTGTTGCTAGATGAACATTCCAAGGGTAAGTTTTGTTTTGCAAATGTTTGCCTGGCAGATATTTCCAAATTATCTCCCACTTCTACGAAGCCATCAATTGGTTCCTGCTGTTGATCCCTATGTACATGTTGCAGTTCCACATTTTCTTTTGCATTTGTGCCTCCCTTCAATAATCACTCCCCTCACACAACTAGTGATTGCATAGAATATTTTATTTATTCTGTGTAGAAGTATTATTACCACAGCAGAACTTAACCCTTTTGCCTTTTAAACTACAAAATAGACAAGGGTGTGAATGGAAATGATACTGTTTTGGTGTTTTAATTACTTACCTTACAAAAGGGTATGTTTTCTCCAATCTCTGTCTGCAAAAAGCCACAGAAGTTATAGTTATAGATGTCAGTTGCTGTTTTCCGGATAGCTGTACCATAGTAATTTATAATAGGGGTGGTAGAGTGATTTCTTTCTTGTTCTAGTTTGGAGCTGTCTATGGAGAGAGGATGTGTACTAAATCACGACACTTCAGCTGTTGCTGAGCATCTGGTGCTTTTTCACACATAGCTAACATGGACATTATCATCACACTGTGCTTTGATTGGCAGTGATGTTACCAGGACACTGTGCAAGTGTCTGTCAGTGCTATTGTCAGTGCTTGTTTCTATGGCTACTGCTGTGCTCTTGACCTTGCTACATACTGAACAAGGTATTACACCTATATTATACAACCACCAATGCTCATGTAGCACTTTCCTATCCTAGTGAGGCAAAAGGATCACCCTACTCACTATTTTAAACATGATAACTGGAACTTTAAAAGGATAATATGTTAACTTTATTTTCAAAGAATTGTAAACTCTTTGAATTGGGACCACAAGAGCTATTTAGTCAATAGAAAAATATGCCATAGAGGAGAGTACATCAAGGTAAAAAGCAGTATAATTTATTGTCATTCAGGTTGCACAGTAAACAAGTTTTTCGTCATGTTTAGGTGGAATTTATTTTCTTGTAATTTAAATCCACTGATTCATCTAGTCACTGCAGCATCAAAAAACTAGTTCAATATGACATCCCTTCAACTAAGCATAACAAAATCTCTCACCTCTTCCACATACGGCTTGGTTTCCAGACATTTAGTCATCTTGGTCACTCTTCTCTGAGAACATACCTGCTTATCAATATCCTTGAATGATGGTGTCCAGGAATGGACAGAATATTGCAAGAGTAGTCCGACCAAAGTAGAACAGAGTACCTTTACTACTTCTGGACCCTTATTTCTAGTGAAAAAACATTGTTAGATGCAACCCAGTCTTCCAATCTGTCAATATCACTTTTGAATCTGTCCTCTGGAGTATTACCTCTCCTCTGATGTCATTGGTATTACCTACACATTTTATAAGCATGCCCTCTATGCCATCATCCAAGCCATTTTACTGGGTCCAGGACAGAACCATGGGGCACCTCACTAGTCACTTCTCTCCAGGATAAAGAGGAAATGACTATGAACACTCTCTAAATTTAGTCAGCCAACCCATTACACATTATGTAACAGTAACATTATCTAACTCACAGTTTATTAATTTATTTACAAGACTATCAGAGATATTGTGAAAAGCCTGACTGAAATCAAGTTTGGACCATTCCCATGATTTACTCAGTCTGTAATTCTATCTAAAGAGAGATAAAATTATTAAACAACAACAAAAACTTATATTGGCCTTTAATAAACGCAGCATTCAATTCTAAGTATGCATCGAGTGATTGTTTAATGATCTATTCAGGACTTTACTGATACTGACATCAAGCTGGTCCAATTTTTCAGGTCCGTTTCCACCACCTCCTTTTGCTCTCTTCCAATCACCTGAGAATTCCCCTATTCTTCAAGCATTTCAAAGACAATACACATTGGTTCTGAAATCACATGTGCAAGTTCATTTATTATTGTTGGATGCAGCTCATCTGGCTTTAGAGGCCTGAATTCATTCTTGGGAACTATGTATCCCTTTGTTACTTCTGTAACTACAGTATTATGGGCTGCAGTGCCCTTACTGGTTTATTTGTTCTGACTGCTTTATTTGTTTTGTTTTGTTTTTTACTATTTAGAGTACTTATTTTTCCTTTTGGGAGAAGAATGAGGCAAATAATGTGTGAAACAGTCAACCTCTCTGTCCCTGGTTAGCTTTTCAAAATTGACTGTCTATCCACAATATTCTTATTGCTGTCTTGTTCTTCCTCTTGCTCTTAACATAGCCAAAAACATCTTTTTTTATTCTTTTTAACCTTTCTAGCAAGTTTGAGCTCAGGCTCCTTCTAAACAGCAGTATAAAATCCAGATTATCTGCTTTGAACTGGGTTATATAGCAGTGTAAACTCAGATAATCCAGTTGAAATCAGATTATGTGGATTATCTGATTTGATAATCTGGATTATATGGCAGTGTAGAAGGGGCCTAAATTTTACACACAGCTCTTTTAAAACATGGCTCATTCTTTATACATCAGATTCTATGTACATCACCTTGGTTTCTCCCACTTTTCTTTCTATTGCTGAAATCTGTTTCCTTGAAGTTGAGAATTTGTAATCTATATTTGGTTTGACCTTTCCTCTATATCAAATACAAAGAAGACAAAATAGCTGATCAACTCCTTCACCTTCTGGACAACAAATCTGTCTGCAAGTGAAGTGAAGATTTTTGAAGGTTTATTGAACCTTATATTCTTGGTAGAATATGACTTTCAACAATTACCGGAGCAGTTGAAGTCGCACTTTATTACTAAGCCCCCTTCTACACAGCTAAATAAAATCCAGATTATCTGCTTTGTACTGGATTATATGGCAGTGTCGACTCATACAATCTAGTTCAAAGCAGATACTGTGGATTATTTGCTTTGATAATCTGTATTATATGGCAGTGTAAAAAAGGTCTAAATCAAGGGGCCTGAATGTTTGGTCCTCCAGGTGTTTTGGACTTCAACTTCCATAATTCCTGCAGTTGGCCAAGCTGCACTGGTCAAAGCTTCTGGAAGTTAAATCACAAACACTTGGAGAACCAAAACTTAGGAACCTCTGTTTAGTTGTTATTATTATTATTATTATATTTATAGCTTTTATATTTTGCCCTTCTCACCCCAGGGCGGATTACAGTGTACACATATATGGCAAACATTCAATGCCAATTTTGACATACAAACATATACAGACATAGACAGAGGCTATTTAACTTTTTCTGGCCGCCAGGGGAGCTGTCGCTTTCATCGTCCATCTGCGACACTGATGAAGTACTTCCGCATTCCCCGCATGCTTTTTGCTGGAGTGCTTTGCGGGAGTCTTTTTTATGGCCTCATAAATTAGTTAATTTAGCCTCCCCACACTTTAAGGTGGTACCTAATTTTCCTACTTGACAGATGCAACTGTCTTTCGGGTTGCAAAGGTTGACAACTGGCTACACAATTGGTTGGAAACCCACTCCAACCCAGGCTGGCTTCGAACTCATGACCTTTTGGTCAGAGTGATCTTAATGCAGCTGACGCTCAGCCAGCTGTGCCATGATCTCATCTCAGGAGTACATATCCCTTATAGATATATCATGCCACCCCAGCCACATTCCTGTTTGCTCTGTTCCTTTAGCTCAGGTTTACCCCTCCATTAGTCATTCTAATCATGAGACTCATCTCACCAAGGACAATAAAACATCTAATTAATCCAAGGACCTTTTTTTTTAATTCACCAGTATACAATTATCTATTAATAAATATGTCTTACCCCTAATTTCAAGTGAGGTGAATTGTCAAAAAGGCTTAGGAAAAACCCTGAAGGATCAGTTTTTCAGTCATTGATGACATTTAGCACACAAATTTAGTGCACGCTGACATTAAGCAGGATGTAAAAGAGCCATCACAGACAAGAACATTCTGTCTTATATATTAGTTGAGATAAAATTATGTCAATTGAAATAGTTCATGTATTTAGTTGACAAAGCCTTTTTTAGACTATTCCTTTCCCCATGATTATGTGTGAGGAAAAGATTCTGAATAAGAGTGTTACATTTACACTCATTTTTTCTAAATTTCCTAAAGTTGATAGAAGTCTAATGTCTAATAAAAGACTAGGAATGTGTGACATACCAGATGTTGCTGGATGCTAATTGTCAGTCCTAACCACCATGTCCTATGGTAAAGGATTATGGGAGTTGCAATTAATCAGCATCTAGATGGTCACACACTCCCACTCCTGGTCTAAATCCTCCATTCAGTATAATTCATCATTTCCGCTAACAAGCATTTCTATTTCTCCACAGGGAGAGATAGAAATCTGTTATCTTATCTCCAGATTTTCCTTTCTGTTGGCTTCTGCCTGCAACCCGTTCCAGAGAGCTCATGTCTGAACATGTGTTAGGAACTAGGGGTTGCACGATAAAGCAATATAAAAACCAATATGTGAAAGCCATTCACATACTCAAATCATATCAATTTAGAGCCACATCATGGAAAATTATTTTTACTACATATGCATAGTCCTTTCTATATGCAACCTCAACTGTATAATAGACTGAAAACAAGTCTGGAGTATACTATATGGTCAGGTGTGCATAGATTTATATAAAACACAGGTAACAATACTAGATATATCAAATCCTTATTTTCTAAGTGGAAAACACTAAACAAAAGAACATGCAAAGAATTACACATTTAGAAAGTTCAGATGATTTATCACTGAACTGGATGCACATTTGAAAACTGAGAATGACAGAGATATTGTTTCTTCTTTTCTGATTTTTCTTATCTTTTCACACTCATGGTGTTCTGAAATCCGTATGAAAAGAACCATGAATGAAAATCCAGATTTTTTTAAAAAAAAATACAAAAGAAGAGGAATATAACTCTGTTAAATATAAAATACAGATTTTTCAAATTACTTTAGCTCTTTTCTTTGTATATTGGCATTTCTTTACATATTGGGGAAAAAAAGCAGCTTAACCTATTTTTCCATAAGCAGTTTCTTCCAGCAAATCCCTATGCTCACTTATAGTAATCCTATACAGTACATTAGGCAATGGGCAGAGATGACGAAAAATATCAAAAATTAGAAGACAAATTAATATATCTGGTTGTTAATTTCTCCTATTATTACTATTATAAAAGCAAACAGAAAAGAAAAAGATTGTCCTTTAATTCAATTGGAACACAGAGAGAGAAGGAGGGAGGAGGAGGAGGAATGGGGAAATATTGTCTATCATACCATGTTTAGAAGGTCAAAGAATTCAAATCATACCACAAAACACACGTCTCTCCTGAACTATCTGGCCCATTTTCAATAATAAAAATGGTTTAAAAGCATAGCTTTTAACACAGCTTATACAGTGTTTATA